TGGAGAAATTAAGAATCACCATTTTCAGGAGGTTTCAACCCAGAATGTAGACAAACAGCAAATTGACGTTCTTTATAACACAGGAAACAAAAAAGTTGCGGTGGCAGCAAAACTCACACAACAATTCAAGGCGGACACCAGGAACACAGGAAGGAAAAAAGAAAACATGAGAAGGACCAGATGGAGATGCGTAACGCTCGAGTGATTTCTGGACTGAACACAAGAGATTGTACAGGCTGATGCTGACGAGGAGATGAGAAACAGCTGAGCGGAGACAGGGTGCAGGTGTGTGTGGGCGTGGCTGGAGTGAGAAGTAAAAACGGACTGGACAAAATACTGACTGGCTGGAAACACAGGGTGTAAAGAGAATATTAAAAACAAAGAAAATACTAAAACCAAACACCACAAGAACAAATATGGAAATAAAACTCAAAACAGAAAACCAAACACTGAAAAAAGAGACTGATATTCCGGTTTTTACAGAATTTGTCTCGAGTTTGGCATTTTGTTAAAGCTAAGTGTTCCCATGATAAAAACAGAACCCACATAAACATAACTCTCATCAACTGAAAACATCTTACTATTAAAGGCAGCAGCCACTCAATGAGAGGGACTGTTGGCAGCTAATAAACCAGCACTACATTTACTGCAGGCATGACGTGTTGCAGACTCTGTCACTGTCAAACATAAAATGCTGATTGATCATTTGCAAGTCATAAATCAAAGCCAGTCTCTCCTTTTCCCCCACCAAAGAAATCACTTTATAACAATAAGCTGTTAGAGAATTTCCTTCAATTCATTGTATTAACAATAACAACTGTTATGATGTGAAATTGAGCCGCTTTGTGAGATGAAATTATAATTGAATCTAAGTTAATAGCAAAAATAGCTGACAGTCAAATATGTTTATCTGATATAATAGGAAAAGGTGCTTTCCTATATTTTTCAGATTCAATTACACAAAACCTGTGAAACACAAGGATTTAAATCAAGAAGCTCGKGCATGTGGAGATCAAATTAGTCCTCATATATTATGCACACACAATGACAGTCCCCCATAACTGGCCCCATGCCCGTAGATTAATATGCATTGTCTTAGTATTAAAACTGCCTCTCCTATTGAGGCTCAAGAGAACTAATTAAACCAATGACATTTCTGAGTGTTCGGGATTTAAGTGTAAACTGACCTTGATAGCAGAGGCAAGGCTTATGAATGAATAACTGGACTGTCCGTTTGTCAGTGCACTTACCCCCTCTCTGCTTTGCTTTTACTCCAACAACTTGAACTTGTTGGACCTGAACATTAAACTCTGAGCAGGTTCAGCAACGTGTTGCAGACATTATGAGTAAAAAGCAGCTWCCTTATGCCCGGTGCACACGGCAATTTATTATGCCCGTTTTTGACTGATTTTGTCTTTCAGACAATCTTAAAGTGCCAGTGACATCAATTTTTTAAAAATAAATATGAATGCATTTTGTTCTGTTGTTGAGATATTTGTATTTTAAGTAACAGGAAATGATGTCAAAGGGGAATGTCTGAATGAGAACAGAGCTACAGTAACTAACAACACACTGTAGAGAAGAATTAGATGTTTCTTCAGATTATTTTGAGTTACTATCAGTGACAGATGAAGACGTGATAGGGTTCAAATAATATTGCTTCAATAAACAAAAAACAGAGTTTTCTTTCTTAGGGTTCCCCTTTGATGTCACTTCCTGTTTCACTTTGGCTAAGATCACTTGTGTTAAGAGTGATCTAGTCGGCTCTGAAGTGTGTTGGGAATGCTCCAAACTCAAATTGGTGATATTCTGTCACGGTGTGTGTCTGTGTGGGTGTGTGTATCTGTTATGTGAGGATTTTTGGTTACTATCCTGGTTTCTGTACTCAGGTCCTCCTGCCTGTCTCCTGCTCTAGCCCCGCCCACACCTCACCTGCTCCTCGTGTTTTTCTTCCAGGTGTTTCTTATTCTAGCTCATTAGTCCCCTTTCATATTTTGTTCTATGTTGTCAGGCTGTAGTCAGTGCTTTGTTGGTATGATTGTCTCCACAGTTCCTGTATGTCTCCATAGTCAGTGTGTTCCCCTACCATGTTACCCATTCATGTTCCAGGATTTTTTAAAAGTCCTTTATTGCTGCCACGCCAGCATATTGTTTTGTTAAATTAAGCCTTTTCTTCAAAACTTTTTAAAACCATTGTCATTCAGTCTGCACCTAGGGTTCAACCTTTTCAAGCCCTTGTTACATATTCAACATGTTGGATTGTCTTAGCCCGATATCCAAGCATGTGTGGATTTCCCCGAGGAAAAATGAACTGGCCAGTTGAATGAGACGTGTAGCCAATTAGAAATAGAGATGATGGAAACACGGAGGGGAATCCAATGTACAGAAGACAAAACAAATTTCATGGAAAGTCTGGTGGAAGTCAGAGACGTCTTTTTGTTGGTTTTTTTTTTTTTTGTTTGTTTTGTTTTGTTTTGTTTTTCTCTCTGTTAAAAATAGTGAACCATCACTATTGCTTTTTTCGTGTTGGCCATATTTATTTATGCTGAACTCTTGTTTGATCTTGAGAGGTTTGGCGAGATTTCCCATTTCAAATCTGAATGTTCGTTAGTAAAACCTGTTTGGATGTGGTATGTTGTCTTTGCCGTGTGACTGTACACCACACACTGTAGGACCAAACCAAATAACTATGATTTTTTTATTGTCGTGTCTCTCAGATTTCGAAAATCAACCGACAATTTTAAAATCTTGCTGTGTGAACCAGCATTAGTGTTACACAGAAAGGCTGAACGCAACATATTAACACAATAAAAGCATCAATTGGATAAGAGACAGTTAAGATCACAAATAAGCATTCAAGTAGTTTGTTGCATTGATATTACATCCAGAAAGTATCCAATTATTCTAAAAACAAAGAGAGATATCTGTAATGTTAAATATGAACAACTAAAGTATTTTGTTTAGCTGTATTTGCGTAAATTACCTCAGATGTTCTTAAGGAGTTCATAAAGGTCTGTCCTTGATTGGTGCCACTATGCCATGAATAATAATCAACCTTAAAGTTGTTAAGTGTTTTCCAGTTCATTTGTCTTTTTTTACCCCCAACCCCGGTGGCAGAGCCCCGACTCCTGGGGCACAGCCAAGTCAAGCCTGAAAGAGTGACAGGAGATCACCTCCACGTGGGCCAACCACCTGCAAAGATGATTGTCGAGGTAGAGGGAGTGTTCTTAGTAGGGGTGCACCAATCACAGTTTTCTGGCCGATCACTGATCTTTAAAAATTTTGACCTGCTAATTCCGATTTTGGCCAATACCAATTTTTTAAATAGCTGACACTGTCAGGGTTAAGGTCACAATACAYCTTCAATCAGCACCTGGCTGAGCTCCTAAATGTTGGTGTTCTCTCCTGTGAACAAGAGTGTTGCCTCTCTGCAGCTTTAAGCTGCAAGAGGGAAGGTTCTGACCTTTGTTTGTGTTTATGCTTTATTAATAAAGATAAACCCACTGTCAAAGTTACCAAGGTGAAAGATAAAAAAGTTTTTTTCTTTTTCTTTTACCTCTATAAAAATGTTAAACTTCAGGTCTTGACTCCCTGACAATCAGCATCATCACACACATTGTAAGGTAAGAACAAAACATTACTCAACTTCCTTAAAACACAAATATCAGTACTATAGAATGGAGTGAAAGGAAGAGAAACCCTACAAACTTGTGAGCACAACATCCATGCAAAAAACCTGAACAGGATGTGGAGACAAGCTCATGAATGCAAATCTCACAGAAGATGCTGATTTATTTAGGCCTTCCACGGCGCAAGATTAAAGATGCAGCAGCTGCTGTAATCAAAGCAAAGAAACTGTGAACTCAAGAAAAGAAACTGAAATCACCAGAGCGTTGGACCAACAAGACACCAAAGTCTTCTACGAGTCCGTCTTACAGTAAGGCCTGAGAGCTTTTCATGTCTGCAATCCATCAGCCTCACTTCCACTTCATGAGCTTGTAAACACTATCCCTATACCTGCTGATAAAGTTTGACTATTACATAAAATATGCTGCACCTGTTCCAGAAATCTACTGCAGTGTTGAGCATAAATCTGGGAACTTGTAAGTGTTAGGGATAAGCTCATTAGTTTAAAATATATATACTTTTCTGGGGCATTTTTAGTAATGTTAAATAGACAAATACATTGTTTTAAGATCTAGACTAAACTGGAAAATGTGTTTAAGTGTGTATATRTTTACACTTTCAAAGGAAAGAGCTGCACTCACCTTTTATTACGTTATTTTATTTACAGGTTTAGCTACTTTTATAAACAAACTTTCTGACGCATCCAAACTGTACAAATACAGTTTTAATATAGAAGCAAAGCTGTGTTTAATTTACCTAATTGTGTGTTCTTCATTATAATCAGTCATTTTTTTCTGTATAAATATGTAACAAAGCTGTACTCAGACTTTAAGAAAAATATGATGCAATGACGTTATATGTATTGCAACTATTTTAAAGATTGGTTCCATTTTTTTATTAATCTTGAAAAAGGTCTGTTGACAGGCTTACCATCAAATTCATACAAAAAATACATCAATACAAAAGTAGGCTATTTTTTAAACTTTACATATATAGTAACATCAGTATGCTTCAGTATAATGCAACAGAAAAGACCAAAAACTGTTGAACAACTCTTTTGTAGATAAAATTACAGTCTGCTTAGAACAATAACTTTATCGAAACGTGTTTGAAAAATAATTTACGTTGCTTAAATGTGAATAACATCAATTAGCTCATCAGTTCACACCTGGTAAATTAAGCAGCAAAACTGATGTCCTCCAAGACTCTTTAATGTGGGTCATTAAGAACCACAGGTTGTTCAACTCAGCAACCAGAAATGTGCCAGACTTGTGTATCTCACAAAAAAACTACATTTTCAGCACTTTTATCAGCTGAAATAAATGAGCCACATCCATAAGAAATCCAATAGTTCCTTGAGGAAATGAACCTACCTTTGGTTGATGAGAAAGACCCATAAAAATATCAGAGCAGGTTGACATTTATGAGACCAGAGACTTGTCTATTGAGTTGCTGTCCCTGCAAAACAGAACAAAAAGTTTTTTTTCAGTCATGCTAATTATTCTATTAAACACAAACATGGAAAAATGCTAGGATTAATTAGTGAATGTTCAAGAACATGAGTCAGTTTTGTATTGACCCTTTGCACGTGAYGTCACACTATTCAGAAGGCGGCCCACTCTGCCATGACGGACATCAAAACCACCCGCGTAATTTACACGGGGGATGGGGGGGTTATAACCCCCCCAATAATTTGATCCAGTCAATATAACCCCCCCAATAATTTGATCCAGTCAATATAACCCCCCCCCCCAATAAAATTGCATCATTTAAGTATACATATATTACATCATTAATTGATTTTCTTCATTCGTTTACATTTTTTAGTAAAATTGCTGCATGTTTTAATGCAAACAAACCCCCCCCCGAACCCCTCCCCTGCAAAAAACTTGGTATCACCCACCCGCTGTCTGTACAAGTGGTCCGGCCGCTGCTGCACCGATTATGTATGAAGCGCCACTTCGGCGCTTCATAATTATGAGGAAACAGTCGCTGCTGAGTGGATGTGGTTCAAAGGAAATGAGAAAAGTGCCCAAAAGCGGACAACCAACAGTTTTTAATTGTTGGTCAACTACACCCCGTTGTAAAAAGAGAAAACATCAAAATGAGGTAAATTGATGATTTGTTTACTCTCTGCTGCGATRTAGCAGACAGTGTTTTGGCTAGCTCCGTTTACTACTACTCTTCACCTAAACTGACCGAGTCAAAAGTAAAATAAGATAAACATAGATATTTGTGCACACGCTGCACTGCAGCCGTGCAAAAGATGCACAATCAAAGGCTGATGGATTTACATCATAATTAAAAATGGTTGGTTCTTTAGTTCAGTCAAAATCAAAGTATTTAATCTTAAAGAAAGTTAAACACATTAAAGTTCACTCAGATCCCCACATTCATCTCACTGCAGCTGCCATGAGTCCAGTTCTACATGTAGACAGAAAAAGGT